ATTTTGTATCTCTATAGAAGAAATTAAAAATATTAAAAAAGTAAACAATCAGTTTTATAAATTTTAAATTTTTATAAGTAAGAAACCCTATAATTAAAATTCTTGAAAAACTTTTTCAAAACATAATTTTATTAAACATCTTAAATATATTTTATTTCAAGTGAAATTGGTATTGACAAATTGCCATGTTCTTTTACGTGAAAATAACCAATAATAAACACAAATTACAAATTTTTAAATGTCAAATTTATTTATCGATATTCATTTTTCTCTGTTGTTTTTGCATATTACACTATTAACTATCGAAATAATTAATTTAAATTTCTTATAGAGTGTAAAACAAAGAATGAAAAAAGTGTACCATTGACAAAGGAAAAAATATAGAGTCAGTTGGGGTAAATGGGGACAAAAGGTTTTGGAGTTTAATTTACACTTTTAAAATGAAGTTCAACGTCAATATTTTAACCTCAGATCACCTGCAAGAGGTTTTGAGTATTGCCAAGCTTTTATCTTGACAATTGGCAGCAAGATAAAAAAAGTTATCGCTCAATGCAGAAAAACTTGAAAATCAAAATCAAACTGTTTCAGTATTTTCCCTCCACTTCAAAGAAAACAGACTTAAAAATCGTACAAAATTTTTTTCTTATTCCTTATGAGTCCTATAATAGAAATTCACTTGAATTTTTGATTTTTGTCAATTTGGTTAATAATGGCAAGCTGTCCCCATTTACCCTGAGTTTTCAAATTTTTGGGGTAAATGGGGACAGCTTGTCATTATTAACCAAATTAAGAAAAATGAAAAATTCAAGTGAGTTTCTGTTATGGGAGTCATAAGGAATAAGAAAAAAAATTGGTATGATTTTAAGTCTTTTTTTTCAAATGCGAGACAAAATACTGAAAAAAAAAAAATAAAAAAAATTTCAAGTGGTTCAACTATTATATATCTACTACAAATGTTTTTTCAAGTTTTTTCATCCCTTAATACAGTAATACACTTAAGGAAACTTTTTTCTAAAAAAATGTCATATTGACATTTATTAAAAGTGTATTGTACATTCGTGGACAAATATGCGCTTACATTTTTTGTCCTTTTCTAACACATGTGTTGTCATGGCAACAATTTATGACTGCACTTGAAATAAATTTATTCTTATATGCAGTGAAATAGAAATATATTTAAATTGGACACAATAATCAGAAATGTTGCGATAATGTGTTTAATATTCTTTAAAACTTAATATTGAAAATTTCTATTTAAAAAAAAAACTTTAACTTTTTTACAAAAAATAATTTATTTTTTAATAGTCAGAGTTGAGTACAATAAATAATCACAGGTGTAAATTTATTAATTATTACAGTCGCCTTAGTCATTATTATCTTAAAAATCAGTCAATGAAAATCAACTCAACGTTGAGGATGAAGCCGATGCAGAGGCGGAAGATTCGTGTCCTGTTGAGAAAGAAAATTAGATATTTGTTAAAAAATTTTCCAAAAAAGAAGTTTTTACTTTTACTATTTAACTTTTTGTTACTAGTAAGCAAGTCAATTATTATTATTAGGGGACGCATGAATATTCCCTTCATTCAACTTGTCGAGTTAAAAATTAACGAATTTACATTTAGTAGAATTTAAAAAAAATAGATTTTATAATGAGACCAATTTTAATATCGAAAAATTTCTATTTAGCAAAATTCTGATTTTGTAGAATTTTTATTCAACTGAACTGTGATAAAGCAGATTTTCTAATATATCGAATTTTCAAATAATATAATTGAGGACCCCGATTTTCTAAGGAAACTTACTCTTGAGGTAGCCGCCTTGCAACCAGTCAGGTGGTTCAAAAATGGAAAAAAATTTGAATTTTATTTTTCTCCATTTTTGAACCACCTGACTGGTCGAAAGGCGGCTGCTTCAAGCGTAAGTCTCCTTATAGAATCGGGGTCCTCAATTTCTATTTAACAAAATTTTTATTTAGAAAAATTTTCATAAAAAATAATTTTTATTTATTAGAATTGTTCTTTTGTCGAATTTCTGTTCTTCCTAATATTCACTTAATTACTGAATAGAATTGTCATTTAACAATAATTCTACTTAGCTAAATTTTTAAGGCAGAGAATTTCTATTTCACCGATACTTTATTTGACCAAAGTTTCACTTATCCGACTTTTCATTAGATAGAAATGTTAAAACTTTGAATTTCCATTTGATGGAACTTTCATATATCAGATCATACACTTAGCAGAAACATTTCAGCGGAAGTTTTAAAATCAACCAATCACAATTTTCTAGATAGTTTTTGATTGATTGATTTTAAAACTCCCGCTGAAATGTTTATGCCAAATGGATGATCTGATATATGACAGTTCGATTAAATGGAAATTCGACGTTTTAATATTTCTGTCTAATGCAAATTCGGATAAGTGAAACTTCGATCAAATAAAGTATCGGTAAAATAGAAATTCTCTGCCTTACAAATTTAGCTAAGTACATAGAACTTCTTTATCACAGTCCAGTTAAATAGAAATTCTACAAAATCAGAATTTTGTTAAATAGTAATTTTTCAATATTAAAATTAAGCATATTATAAAATCTACTGTTTTAAAATTCTACTAAATATACTTCGATAATTATTAAGAGTATAAATAAAAGTATCTAATTATGTAATAATTTTTTTTACTGTATTTTACCTTGATCAGCTTTGAAATTCGATTCCGAACTACCATTCCACCAAGAAGAAGCTTGTGCATTACTATTGGTATTTGAAACAATATTTCCTCCAAATTGATAATTATGTCCACCAATGTTACTATTTTCTACATTGTTACTAGATCCTCCATTGTTTACATACTTTATATTGTTTTTATTTCCTACATTGTTTCCACTTCCTCCGTTATTGCTCCATCCACCATAATTTCCATATCCTCCATTGCTTCCTTGGTTTCCATTGTTGAAATAATTTCCATTAGTTTTAAGATTTGAAACAATATGTCCTCCAAATTGGGTTTTATGTCCTCCAATATTTCCATTATCCACATTGTTACTACTTCCTCCATCATTTTCATATATTACATTATTTTCATTTGCTACGTTGTTGCCACTTGCTCCATTATTTAAATTTTCTAAACAGTTTATATTTCCTCTGCAGTTTACATTTCCTGTATGGTTTTCACAACCTCCAGTGCTTTCATCTTGTGTATTGTCTTTATTTCCTTCAGTATCTCCACACACTAGAAAAAAGTAGAATTTTTACCCCAAATTCGGTATAAGAATTAACTGCAACAAATTTTTCACGAAAATAACAACAAAAACCTTTTTTTTAACATAACACATCAATTTGTGTTTATTTATTTCTCCAAATGAAAATTGCATTCTTTTTTGTTATTTCCGAGAAAATATTTTAAAAGTTTTCGTAAAAAAATATGCTAATATTTAATTTATCATGAATCATGAAAAAAGCCTACAAAAAAATTATCGATAAAAAATAATAAAGAATCATCAGTAAAATTTAAACTAATCAAAATTATAATCTTGTTTAGGGATAAACAATTTATTTTTTTTTTGACATTTTTTCAGAACCTGAAATCACATTTGAGTATGAAAAATAAAAAAAAGTAATTTTTAATAATTTTACAAATTTTTTTTATTTTTCAAAATTTTTATTGATTGCTTAAAATCATGAAAAAAGACTATATAAAAAATCTGCAATGAAAAATACGAGAAATTGTGAGAGAAGTTTAAATTTTCAAGAATTTTTAGTTTTATTTGAAAAAATAGTCCCCTTAACGTAATAAAATAATATACCTATCATTCTTAATAAATAAACGAATTAAAGTGTCCCATTAGTATTTACAAATTTTATCTGATTAAATCAAGAACAATATAAGTTTATTTATATAAATTAAGATTTTCTGTTTACAAACATTAACTAAAATTATTTTTCTAGCATTATTTAGGGTCTAAAATTATTTCAAATTGTTCAAATTTAAAAAGAAATTTAAGAATGTATATTTATTAAAAATAAATTTAAAAATTGAAAATATTAAAAATTTATACGATTGTTTGTTTAGAACGATAAAAAAGTATACAAAAAAATTGTAGAAGAAGTTGAAATTAAAAAGTATTTCAGTAAAATTTAAATCAATAAAAATTTAAAATATTTAGAAGTGTCAATTTTTTTCCACATATATTTGAAACTTAAAACTATATTCTATAATAAAAAAAATTTATTTTTAAAAAAATTGAAATTCATTAAAATCCATACTATATTCCGATTCAAATAAAATTGCAAAGAAGATAATAATAGAAAAGAAATTTTTGATTATAAATATTTATATTTTAGAAAAGAATTGTACCTGGACGAGCAAAAGCGTGATCAACAAGTAATAGAATAAATACAAGCAATAAACACTTAATAGATGCCATGATTAACACTTAAAAATTTTTGATAACCGAGTTGCTGTTTTACTTTAATAAAAATATTTTACTTTTTCGAAGATGCCAAAGACACTGAAGATGTAAGTTCAGTCAAGACCTTTATATATTCACTGGACAAAGGCTGCGCGCGCAAAGCGCCCGCCTTTTTCGTTGGTGTTTAGTACTTAGTCAAAAAGAAAGCTAAACTATCCTTCCCCCAAACCACCGAAACTTTCCTAAAGATTTCCTAAAAATTTATTTGAAATGTTTAGAATATTTAATTGCAATGTTTAGTGAAAATTCTGCAAAGATTTAAATGTCCCACTTGTATAAATGTTTAGCGCGAAACTTTCCTGAATATTTATGTAATCGGGACAGTTATATCTTTACACAATATTCACTAAACTTTGCAATTAAATAATTCAAACATTTCAAATAAATTTTTAGGAAATCTTTAGGAAAGTTTCGGTGGTTTGGGGGAAGGATAGTTTAGCTTTCTTTTTGACTAAGTACTAAACACCAACGAAAAAGGCGGGCGCTTTGCGCGCGCAGCCTTTGTCCAGTGAATATATAAAGGTCTTGACTGAACTTACATCTTCAGTGTCTTTGGCATCTTCGAAAAAGTAAAATATTTTTATTAAAGTAAAACAGCAACTCGGTTATCAAAAATTTTTAAGTGTTAATCATGGCATCTATTAAGTGTTTATTGCTTGTATTTATTCTATTACTTGTTGATCACGCTTTTGCTCGTCCAGGTACAATTCTTTTCTAAAATATAAATATTTATAATCAAAAATTTCTTTTCTATTATTATCTTCTTTGCAATTTTATTTGAATCGGAATATAGTATGGATTTTAATGAATTTCAATTTTTTTAAAAATAAATTTTTTTTATTATAGAATATAGTTTTAAGTTTCAAATATATGTGGAAAAAAATTGACACTTCTAAATATTTTAAATTTTTATTGATTTAAATTTTACTGAAATACTTTTTAATTTCAACTTCTTCTACAATTTTTTTGTATACTTTTTTATCGTTCTAAACAATCAATCGTATAAATTTTTAATATTTTCAATTTTTTAATTTATTTTTAATAAATATACATTCTTAAATTTCTTTTTAAATTTGAACAATTTGAAATAATTTTAGACCCTAAATAATGCTAGAAAAATAATTTTAGTTAATGTTTGTAAACAGAAAATCTTAATTTATATAAATAAACTTATATTGTTCTTGATTTAATCAGATAAAATTTGTAAATACTAATGGGACACTTTAATTCGTTTATTTATTAAGAATGATAGATATATTATTTTATTACGTTAAGGGGACTATTTTTTCAAATAAAACTAAAAATTCTTGAAAATTTAAATTTTAAACTTCTCTCACAATTTATCGTATTTTTCATTGCCGATTTTTTATATAGTCTTTTTTCATGATTTTAATCAATCAATAAAAATTTTGAAAAATAAAAAAAATTTGTAAAATTATTAAAAATTACTTTTTTTTATTTTTCATACTCAAATGTGATTTCAGGTTCTGAAAAAATGTCAAAAAAAAAAAAATTGTTTACCCCTAAACAAGATTATAATTTTGATTAGTTTAAATTTTACTGATGATTCTTTATTATTTTTTATCGAAAATTTTTTTGTAGCCTTTTTCATGATTCATGATAAATTAAATATTAGCATATTTTATTACAAAAACTTTTAAAAATATTTTCTCGGAAATAATAAAAAAGAATGAAATTTTCATTTGGAGAAATAAATAAACACAAAATTCTACTTTTTTTTAGTGTGTGGAGATACTGAAGGAAATAAAGACAATACACAAGATAAAAGCACTGCAGGATGTGAAAACCATACAGAAAATGTAAACAATGGAGAAAATGTAAACTGCAAAGGAAATATAAATTGTTTAGAAAATTTAAATAATGGAGCAAGTGGCAACAACGTAGCAAATGGAAACAATGTAATATATAAAAATAATGGTGGAAGTAGTAACAATGTGGATAATGGAAATATTGGAGGACATAAAACCCAAATTGGAGGACATATTGTTTCAAATCTTAAAACTAATGGAAATTATTTCAACAATGGAAACCAAGGAAGCAATGGAGGATATGGAAATTATGGTGGATGGAGCAATAACGGAGGAAGTGGAAACAATGTAGGAAATAAAAACAATATAAAGTATGTAAACAATGGAGGAGCTAGTAACAATGTAGGAAATAGTAACATTGGTGGACATAATTATCAATTTGGAGGAAATATTGTTTCAAATACCAATGCTTTTGCTATTAATGGATATAATGGAAATAGTGGATATAATGGATACAATGATAGACATGAAAATAATGGAGGATTTGGCAACATTGGAGGAAATGTAAATTGTAGAGGAAATGGAAAATGTACAGAATTAGGAAACAATAGTGGACATTTTGTTGTAAATGCCTATAGTAATGCACAAGCTTCTTCTTCGTGGAATGGTAGTTCGGAATCGAATTTCAAAGCTGGTCAAGGTAAACTACAGTAAAAAAAAATTATTACATAATTAGATACTTTTATTTATACTCTTAATAATTATCGAAGTATATTTAGTAGAATTTTAAAACAGTAGATTTTATAATATGCCCAATTTTAATATTGAAAAATTACTATTTAATAAAATTCTGATTTTGTAGAATTTCTATTTAACTGGACTGTGATAAAGAAGTTCTACTTAGCTAAATTTTTAAGGCAGAGAATTTCTATTTCACCGATACTTTATTTGATCGAAGTTTCACTTATCCGAATTTGCATTAGATAGAAATATTAAAACGTCGAATTTCCATTTGATCGAACTTTCATATATCAGATCATCCATTTGGCATAAACATTTCAGCGGGAATTTTAAAATCAATCAATCAAAAACTATCTAGAAAATTGTGATTGGTTGATTTTAAAACTTCCGCTGAAATGTTTCTGCTAAGTGTATGATCTGATATATGAAAGATCGATCAAATGGAAATTCAAAGTTTTAACATTTCTATCTAATGAAAATTCGGATAAGTGAAACTTTGGTCAAATTATATATCGGTGAAATAGAAACTCTCTGTCTTAAAATTTAGCTAAGTAGAATTATTGTTAAATGACAATTCTATTGAGTAATTAAGTGAATATTAGGTAAAACAGAAATTCGACAAAAGAACAATTCTGATAAATAAAAATTATTTTTTATGAAAATTTTTCTAAATAAAAATTTTGTTAAATAGAAATTGGGGACCCCGATTCTATAAGAAGACTTACGCTTGAAGCATCCGCCTTGCGATCAGTCAGGTGGTTCAAAAATGGAGAAAAATAAAATTCAAAATTCAAATTTTTTTCCATTTTTGAACCACGTGACTGGTTGCAAGGCGGTTGCTTCAATCGTAAGTCTCCTTATAGAATCGGGGTCCTCAATTATATTATTTGAAAATTCGATATATTAGAAAATCTGCTTTATCACAGTTCAGTTGAATAGAAATTCTACAAAATCAGAATTTTGCTAAATAGAAATTTTTCGATATTAAATTTGGTCTCATTATAAAATCTACTTTTTTAAAATTCTACTAAATGTAAATTCGTTAATTTTTAACTCGACAAGTTCAATGAAGGGAATATTTATGCGTCCCCTAATAATAATAATTGACTTGCTTACTTGTAAAAAAAAGTTAAATAGTAAAATTAAAAACTTCTTTTTTGGAAAATTTTTTAACAAATATCTAATTTTCTTTCTCAACAGGACATGTATCTTCCGCCTCTGCATCGGCTTCATCCTCAACGTTGAGTTGATTTTCATTGACTGATTTTTAAGATAATAATGACTAAGGCGACTGTAATAATTAATAAATTTACACCTGTGATTATTTATTGTACTCAACTCTGACTATTAGAAAATAAAATATTTTTTGTAAAAAAATTAAAGTTTTTTTTTTAAATAGAAATTTTCGATATTAAGTTTTAAAGAATATTAAACAAATTATCACAACATTTCTGATTATTGTGTCTAATTTAAATATATTTCTATTTCACTGCATATAAGAATAAATTTATTTCAAGATACACTTTTAATAAATGTAAAAATGACGAAGATAATCAACAAAAATTAACAGTGTTCCATAACGCCTCGGTCTCTTCTATAATTAATTTAACATTTTAATTATAGTAAATTGATGGATTTGATTCTTTTTTATTTTCTTAGATTCAAATAATATGTTACATTATAGATGATGTGCAGTCGTTCGATAATTATCATTTAATTGTTACTATCAGGAAGAGAAGTAATAATTTAATAATAATGTTGTTCCATTAATTAGGCAATTATAAAGACTTATTAATAATAGTACTGTGTCATTTTATAAATAACTTTATTTTTTCTATTTATCTAGCATAAATAAAAGCAAAAATGTGTTTTTTCTTCAATTCATTATTGTCAGATATATCGGAGAAAACAGAATAATTAAACTTATCTTGAGGAGTGTAAAACTTGTCAAAATTTCAGTGTTAACTATAGGACAATCCTCTATTGTTTGTAAATTACTACCTTCGTAGTGTCTGAATGAAAATAATCAGTTTTACCCTCCAGTAAGGTACAATCTTTTATCGGTTTTAATCAATTTTTTGAAAAGAAATGTTTAATTGCAGAAAAAATTAATTTAAACGATTAAAAATATTTAATTTATATATTATAATAAATAAATTAGTACATTTTTATTAATTCATATGGATTTTAAATTTTCAGTAATTGAGAAGTTTTAAAAATTAGTCAGCTATCTTAATGATAATAATTCATAAAAAAAAAAATTTCGCAGAGAAAAATAATTAAACTATTTAAAAATATTTGAGTCATGTTATAGGGTCATTCCATTTTATTTCACCTATAATCGTTGCAGCCTATTTTTAGAAAAATTTGATATTTCGTATTAATGACTTTGAATATCCGTACAATTCATTTTTGACAATTATTTTATGAAATTTTTTTTTTATTTACGTTGAAATTCAGTTTTTAAGTTGAGTTGCACGGAAAATAGGTTAGTTTGACAACTTTGGAAATTTTATAAAAAAGAACAGAAATAATTTAGTTATTAAATTTTTTTTCATTGTTATTTGATGAAAATAGTCTAATTTACCAATGTACTTTCCAAGTTCTTTCACATGATATGTTGGCTTTTTATTTTTATAATATAGAAATATGTGAAATTTTACCTTGAATGTTGAACTTTTCAGGATTTTATCTGATTTTGAACACTTATATCTTCGCAGGCGATTAATGAAAAAATCCCATTTTGGTTTTAAAATTTAAGTTAAATCTTCTTTATTCATCTTATCAAAATTTGGTGATGGAGAACGAGCTATTTTTTATTTTTATTCACTTTAAAAAATTCCCCGCAAAATACGAATTTGAAGGTTAAAAAACAAGTATTTTTATAAATAAAATTCATACAAATTAATCTATATTGAGAAAACCAACTTCAGTTTTATAAAATTACTTGTTTTTTAACCTTTAAATTCGTATTTTAAGGTGGATTTTTTAAAGTGAATAAAAATAAAAAGTAGCTCGTTCTCCATCACCAAATTTTGATAAGATGAATAAAGAAGATTTAACTTAAATTTTAAAACCAAAATGGGATTTTTTCATTAATCGCCTGCGAAGATATAAGTGTTCAAAATTTGATAAAATCCTGAAAAGTTCAACATTCAAGGTAAAATTTCACATATTTCTATATTATAAAAATAAAAAGCCAACATATCATGTGAAAGAACTTGGAAAGTACTTATTGTTAGGTAGGAATGAATTTTATAATATTTATAAACTTTCTTGGAAAATATAAATAAAATGTGACAAATTTTGACATTTTACAGGTAAGTTTGAATATTAATTTTCACGTAGTATTTTTGCTTTTTTACACAATTATCAAATAACATTGGTAAATTAGACTATTTTCATCAAATATCAATGAAAAAAAATTTACTAACTGAATTATTTCTGTTCTTTTTTATAAAATTTCCAAAGCTGTCAAACTAACCTATTTTCCGTTCAATTCAACTTAAAAACTAAATTTCAACGTAAATAAAAAAAATTTCATAAAATAATTGTCAAAAATGAATTGAACGGATATTAAAAGTCATTAATACAAAATACCAAATTTTTCTAAAAATAGGCTGCAACGACTATAGGTGAAATAAAATGGAATGGCCCTATATTAAATTTTAATCATTTTTAATAATTGTATGAATTGTTTTTCAAGGAGTAATAAAATCATTCAGTGAGCTAACCTTGTAAAACTTTAACAAATTTAAAAATAAAATTAGGAATAAATTATTTTAATTTAATAAAACTTATTTCAACTTATCCAAAAAAAAATAGAAAAAATTGATTTTAACAATTTTTTATAAATTACATAAAAATTTTAAATACTGTAAATTTTGTATCTCTATAGAAGAAATTAAAAATATTAAAAATGTAAACAATCATTTTTATAAATTTTAAATTTTTATAAGTAAGAAACCCTATAATTAAAACTTAAAAAACTTTTTCAAAACATAATTTTATTAAACATCTTAAATATATTTTATTTCAAGTGAAATTGGTATTGACAAATTGCCATGTTCTTTTACGTGAAAATAACCACAAATAAACACAAATTACACATTTTTAAATGTCAAATTTATTTATCGATATTCATTTTTCTCTGTTGTTTTTGCATATTACACAATTAACTATCGAAATAATTAATTTAAATTTCTTATAGAGTATAAAACAAAGAATGAAAAAAGTGTACCATTGAGAAAGGAAAATATATAGAGTCAGTTGGGGTAAATGGAGACAAGAGGTTTTGGAGCTTAATTTACAGTTTTAAAATGAAGTTCAACGTCAATATTTTAACCTCAGATCACCTGCAAGAGGTTTTGAGTATTGCCAAGCTTTTATCTTGACAATTGGCAGCAAGATAAAAAAAGTTATCGCTCAATGCAGAAAAACTTGAAAATCAAAATCAAACTGTTTCAGTATTTTCCCTCCACTTCAAAGAAAACAGACTTAAAAATCGTACAAAATTTTTTTCTTATTCCTTATGAGTCCTATAATAGAAATTCACTTGAATTATTGATTTGTGTCAATTTGGTTAATAATGGCAAGCTGTCCCCCCATTTACCCTGAGTTTTCAAATTTTTTGGGTAAATGGGGACAGCTTGTCATTATTAACCAAATTAAGAAAAATGAAAAATTCAAGTGAGTTTCTGTTATGGGAGTCATAAAGAATAAGAAAAAATTTGGTATGATTTTTAAGTCTGTTTCTTTTAAAATGCGAGACAAAATACTGAAATAAGAAAAAAATAAAAAAAATTTCAAGTGGTTCAACTATTATATATCTACTACAAATGTTTTTTCAAGTTTTTTCATCCCTTAATACAGTAATACACTTAAGAAAACTTTTTTCTAAAAAAATGTCATATTGACATTTATTAAAAGTGTATTGTACATTCGTGGACAAATATGCGCTTACATTTTTTGTCCTTTTCTAACACATGTGTTGTCATGGCAACAATTTATGACTGCACTTGAAATAAATTTATTCTTATATGCAGTGAAATAGAAATATATTTAAATTGGACACAATAATCAGAAATGTTGCGATAATGTGTTTAATATTCTTTAAAACTTAATATTCAAAATTTCTATTTAAAAAAAAACTTTAACTTTTTTACAAAAAATAATTTATTTTTTAATAGTCAGAGTTGAGTACAATAAATAATCACAGGTGTAAATTTATTAATTATTACAGTCGCCTTAGTCATTATTATCTTAAAAATCAGTCAATGAAAATCAACTCAACGTTGAGGATGAAGCCGATGCAGAGGCGGAAGATTCGTGTCCTGTTGAGAAAGAAAATTAGATATTTGTTAAAAAAAATTCCAAAAAAGAAGTTTTTAATTTTACTATTTAACTTTTTTTTACAAGTAAGCAAGTCAATTATTATTATTAGGGGACGCATGAATATTCCCTTCATTCAACTTGTCGAGTTAAAAATTAACGAATTTACATTTAGTAGAATTTTAAAAAAGTAGATTTTATATTATTCGGTCAAATAAAGTATCGGTGAAATAGAAATTCTCTGCCTTAAAAGTTTAGCTAAGTAGAACTTCTTTATCACAGTCCAGTTAAATAGAAATTCTACAAAATCAGAATTTTATTAAATAGTAATTTTTCAATATTAAAATTGGGCATATTATAAAATCTACTGTTTTAAAATTCTACTAAATATACTTCGATAATTATTAAGAGTATAAATAAAAGTATCTAATTATGTAATAATTTTTTTTTACTGTAGTTTACCTTGACCAGCTTTGAAATTCGATTCCGAACTACCATTCCACGAAGAAGAAGCTTGTGCATTACTATAGGCATTTACAACAAAATGTCCACTATTGTTTCCTAATTCTGTACATTTTCCATTTCCTCTACAATTTACATTTCCTCCAATGTTGCCAAATCCTCCATTATTTTCATGTCTATCATTGTATCCATTATATCCACTATTTCCATTATATCCATTAATAGCAAAAGCATTGGTATTTGAAACAATATTTCCTCCAAATTGATAATTATGTCCACCAATGTTACTATTTCCTACATTGTTACTAGCTCCTCCATTGTTTACATACTTTATATTGTTTTCATTTCCTACATTGTTTCCACTTCCTCCGTTATTGGTCCATCCACCATAATTTCCATATCCTCCATTGCTTCCTTGGTTTCCGTTGTTGAAATAATTTCCATTAGTTTTAAGATTTGAAACAATATGTCCTCCAATTTGGGTTTTATGTCCTCCAATATTTCCATTATCCACATTGTTACTACTTCCACCATTATTTTTATATATTACATTGTTTCCATTTGCTACGTTGTTGCCACTTGCTCCATT